CAATTGACGAGGGGGAGGGGGAGGAGGAGGAGGAGAGCGGTGAGGGAGAGAAGGAAGAGCTTACGATGGGGCTGAGGTTCATGCTGCGCGGCTTCTTGCTTGCGCTCCTCATGCTCTGAAGCTGCTCGAGGAAGGCGGCGGAGAGAACTCGCGAGTAGGGGGAGATCGGCTGCCAGTCCCGCTGGTCGACGTCGCAGGGAGACCAGCAGGAGGAGGAGGACTGGGAGGCTGCGGGTGATGAGAGAGGAACAAGGAAGGCGCTCTTGACCTGGTTGTCGCTTCCACGCGAGCCGATCGTTCCAGGATTCCTTGTGACAGGTCAGCGAGAGGACTCGAGCAAGCCAAAGAGAGCGGAATGGAGGAAGTGGCTCGAGGAGAGGAGAGGAGAGGAGAGGAGAGAATAGGAGAGGAGGGAGGGGGGGGAGGGGAGGGGAGAAGAGAGGAGAGCCGATGAAACGAGCAAGACCATACCTGACGACAAGTCCAGGAGTTGGAAGACTTCACCCTCTCCTCTTCCTCTGCGGGTAACGTCCTCCACTTCCCACAGTCGCAGCATCGCACGTTTCTGATGCCTGACAACTCGTGCTCCACTTTCTGCTCGCTCTGTCATCCTCCCTCCCCTCCTCCCCTCCAGCTCCCTTGTCACCTCCTGCCATCTTCACCAAACCCTCCTGCCGTATCGCTCTTTTTTTCCATTCTCCCACCTCACCTCCTTTCGTTCCTCCTCTCATCCCCCTCCCTCCCCCTTCTCCCCTGCCCCTCCCCCTCCTCCTCCTCCTCCTCCTCCTCCTTGCCTGTCGCATCTCTTCTATCATTCTCCACAGCATATCAAATGGTTTCCTGATGCTGTGCTGCGGAATTCGTCGTCCTCTTCGGTACCAGGCCGCCGTCTCCCCCCACCCCTTGCTGTATCCCCCCGCAGCCTTGTCCACCTGCCCCTTCCTCTCTCAGCAGCCAGACACCCCAGAACGAGGGAGCGCGCGAGAGAGAGGTGGGAGGAGGGAGGAGGGAGGAGGGAGGAGGGAGGAGGGAGAGGAGAGAGAGGAGAATGAGGGAGGTGGGAGGTGGGAGGAGGGAGAGCAAGGGAGGAAGGGAGCAGGGGCGGGGGAGGAGGCAACGGCCTTGACACCTTCACATCTAGTTGCTCTGCCATGGCGTAGACCGGGTTCAAAACAGCATCGCAACCGTGAATGAAAGAGGCACCGAGGTCAACAAAGACTGTCATGAAACTGTTAGCAACCCCTTACCCTCCCTCCTCCTCAGTTCTTCTCTCTCCCTCCCTCCTCTTCAGTTCTTCCTCTCTCCCTCCCTCTCGCTCCGTCTCCCTCTCTCCCTCCCTCAATCTTCTCCTCCCCCCTTCCCTTGGAAGTCAGTCTCTTCTCAGTAGTTCTTCTCGCTCGTTCTCCTTCTTCCTCTCTCTTCTGCTCTCACCGGGTGAAAGATCTTCCGCTCTCGTCATGGCTGACGTGAAAACTCGCCCTCCCGTTCTCTCCCGCGCCTCAAGCACCTCCACCTGCTCCTCTCAGTCTCCTCTCTCCTCTCTCTCTCTCCTCCCACCTCCACGCCTGCCATGCGAAGTTTTCGAGCCGCCGCAAGTCCCGCAACTCCGGCACCGACCACCAAGACTCTGAAGAAGAAGATCACACAATACAAAGAGTTCCTCGGGCGAGGAGGGCACGAGGAGGAGGCGGAGAGGAGGAGGGGAGGAGGAGGCAGGGAGGAGGAGGAGTCAGTGACCTCTTGCTGCCTGAATGGCGAGAAAATGGCGGGAGGTGAGGCATGGAAGGCGTGGGGATCGAATGAGGAGCGAGCCAGAAGGAGAAATGTTTCGACTCGTGTGATGAAGGAGATGGAGGAGAGAAAGTCAGCTTGACTCTCCCGTCCTCCTTCAGCTGTCGCTGCACCAGCGCCTTCACCTCCTCCAGCGAGCAGCCCTTGCAGGGAACATCCCCGACAGAGAGAACGAGAACGCCTTCCCTGACCTCGCACAGTCTCTCTACCTTCCCCTCCTGCTTGACTCTTCGGAGCAGCTGCCTCGCCCACTCCTCCACTCTCTTCACCATGAACGTGCCGCTTCGAGTCTTGTCCAGCTCTAATCCGATGCCTTCTCTTCCTCTCTTCTTAGCGGTTTCCGAGCATTCGCCTGCCTGCTCTCCTCCTGGCTTGATCCTCTCTGTACCTCGAGGTTGTACTCCATGCGTCGGCGCTTGACCTTTGACTTTCTCCTTAGTCGCCTTCACCTTCTTCTTCTCCTTGCTGTCTGAATCCTCCTTCCTCCTCTTCCTCCCCCTCTCCTCTCCTCGCTCTTCTCTTCGCTTCCTTCCTCCGGTACCATCGTGAAGCTCTCCTGCCATTGCGGCTGAGAGCAGACGGGCCTGTGCGGGGACGAGGTGCAGTATGAGCGGGCGCAATGTTGGAATGCAATGGCTTATGGGGGCGGAAGGGGAGGAGAGCAGGAGAGCAGGAGAGCAGGAGAGCAGGAGAGCAGGAGAGCAGGAGAGCAGGAGAGCAGGAGAGCAGGAGAGCA